TTAGGCTTGTAGTACTGCTATTATTGTATTTCAAACAATAGCCGCATATATTATTCCTATTTTTTTTCCAATAAATCTTGCAGCTGAGTGTCAAGCCCAACAACGTCCCTCTTTGTATGCGTTTACATGTACTTTCGCGTAGGCACGATGCGCCTTTCTTCCTTTAAAAGAAAAACAAAGATAAAAAAAAAGTTGCCAGTGCACATAGTGCACTGGCACCTTGCATTTTCCAGTGCTTTGCATTTTCCACTGCAAATTGGAAAGAAATGGGCCTCCCAACAGGGGGCGCTGCCCCGCGCGCGTTTCACCGCCTTTCTAGCAGAAGCTGGTCCCTCGGTACCCCGGCCACACCTTCTTCCTGCGCCATCTCAGCACGGGCACGGCACGCGCAGTTATACAGCGTTATACAGCGTCACCTCCACATACAGCGTCACCTGTGACTTGCTTAGAAGGTCTAAATAGATTACACAAACGTTTTCAAGTCGCGAAGCTATCTCAACCGAGAGCGATTCATTTAACCATGATTTTTATGTGGGTTTAACGTGCCAAAACCACCATATGATTATGAGAGGTGTCGTTGGGGAGGGCTCCGGAAATTTCGACCACCTGCGGTTCTTTAACGTGCACCCCAAATCTGAGCACACGGCCTACACATTTCCGCTTCCATCGGAAATGCAGCCGCCGCAGAAGGATATCATTTAACCTTTGCGGGACTAAGCAAGTCAAAGACGATGTCTTTGAGCGAATGCTATGTGAAAGTTAATGCGGCACATCTGCCTTTCTGTGACATTAAAAGGGAGTGACGGCACGAATTTTATATAAAGCCAAGGGTAAAACGCGCATGGCTGCGGCATTACCTGTCGGCAAACTCCCACCACGCTTCGCACTGCATTTGTGTATATATATAGCATTCGAATTTCTATTGCTTGAATACCAAGTTGTCCGCCGCTTTCAATTATTAGAAGGCTCAGTGTGAAGACGCTTATTTACGTTTTTCCTGTTAAGTCCCTGGCACCATTTCAATGTGGTGTGTTTAGTTTCATAAGCCCCACCGAGGTGGTCTAGTGGCTAGGTAATCGGTTGCTGACCATAGGTCACGGGATCAAATTCCGGCTGCGGCGGCTGCATTTCCGATGGAGGCGAAATGTTGTAGGCCCGTGTGCTCAGATTTGGGTGCACGTTAAAGAGCCCAGGTGGTCGAAAGTTCCGCAATCTTCCACTATGGCGTCTCTCATAATCATATGGTGGTTTTGGGACGTTAAACCCCACATATCAATCAATCAATCAATCAATCAATCAATCAATCAATCAATCAATCAATCAATGTTCAGTTTCATAAACAGTTTATCTTATGCCGAGGTTTTCATCGGATGTTAACAAGGTCGTATCGTAAGTTCAATGACATCTTTTAATTTTTTGCAGCTCATTTGAAAGTGTAATGATGCGCACAAAAATGTATTTCATGTCCACTTCAACCATGCATGTTTCTGCAGCGCATATTTAATTTCGGATAATATCCAACCCTATCACGCAGCCCGTTCACTGATTCCAATGTCGATTGGTTATTTTGACAGCTTGCTTGGTCGTCGTCATATCACACAATACTCAGTAGGATCGAGCATGTTTTTATTAACGCCAAGATTTGCCCCTGAAAAGAGCACGAAATTTTGCGATGCCATCAAAAATTTTATATCTGCCTTGGTTCTTTTTTCAACTCGTTTTATAGTGGCAGCTGAATATCGCTCACGGCTCGGACATAATAATGCAAAGACAATACATTTACGTGCAAAAACATCATATCTTAGAATGCACGCCATGGTTTGAGACTCCAGATTTATTCCGGCCACCTGATGTTCTTTTTTTTCTTTTTTAACGTGCACCTAAATCTACTTGAAGTGTATACAGTGCGACGATAACGGACGGAGGGTGCATACACACCAAGCGTCACTTCTGCTTACATTGAGCGTCATACCACCGTACGCTTGAACTATGCAACACAACAACGCCCTGTCTGTCATTCTGCGCCAAAATCTGAGCGCACTGTTACTGCGTTTTGCTTCCGAGGAAACGCAGCTGGCTAATCCAACTCTTGACGCCTTTGCTTCTCTTTGCTTGCATTAAAACGCTAGAACTTGATGGGCAGCTTGGAGGTCTTCGTCATGTTCAAACTTTTGTAGCAGCTCACAATGCAGCAGTAGTGCGTGCTTGCTTTCCAGAATGGCGAAGGAACGCTGCCCATAGCGTGCAAAATGCGACATAAGCTCTCCAAGGAACACGTTTTCCGTGCGCACAATGGGAAAACCCAGCAAGCGCGGCCCATTCGAACGACGGAGATTTGCCCTCTTTCCGCTAGGGCGGTTAATGGCGCTGCGCAAACTTTAGCATGTCCTCCTTATACATGAGATGTCTTACCCCCATATGTAAGAATGTTTTTACGCTCTGAATTTTATACGTTGACGCTCCTGCTGTCGGCAACTTGGCAAGGTAGCAGCAACGTATAGATATGATCTCAGCCGCTGAACGTGTATGTGGTCGTACAGTGAATTCCGCTGTCAGTTGTGAGGCGTTTTCAAGCAAATTCTTTCTTTTTTTGCAGCCATATATCGTACTTATAGTATCCCTGGTTTTCTCCATAATCATTTCTATTTCTTCGTATTAATAAGTTGGATGATGATCATTCATATTTATCCGTATTATTGAGCTGGATGGAGGCCGGCATTTACTATTCTATCCTTCGCCATTCTTTGAAGAAGCTTGGTATCCGCTATAGACTCGCTAATAATTTTGTGCAATTTTTTATTCAGTGGGTGGTGACGATGAAGAATTTTGCCTTAACAGCGTGAACAATATCAAGCTTTTGTAAGATTGAAGCATTGGACGACCCATTCTTTACGCAATTCACACTGTTGTGACCGCCCGGTTATTCCTTTGATGTTGTAAAATGCTTCATTACTCATATTAACGCGATTTCTTTCTGACATCAAGCCGGCCTAAGGCCAGGTTGCAAATGAGTTACGAACCCCGGTGTGTCTCAGTGGTAGAATACTGGGTGGAACGCAGCGCACCCGGGGTCGAAACCCCATTGTGTTCTTGCTGTTTTTATTTACTGAGTTTTTTTCTTATTTCTTGCGATACTGGTTAACACCGGCGGAGATGGCGGTGGCGGACACTATGGCACTGCATGTGACTCGTGTTCTGATCCCATAACAGCTTTCTCTGCACAAAATTGGACACAGGAAGCCACCGAGACAAACGTCAAAATGGTTGAACAGTAATGCGTGAGGCCCACGCATTGTATATTTCATATGTCGAAAGAGAAGCAGTCGCTGTACATACGAACCGTGGTTATGCGACAGAAGACATCGCTATACCGATAGCGTCTTCATCTGCTTGTGCCCTTGTTCTTTTGCCAGTGATGCACTGAGCAACAATAATGCTATTTATTTTTAAAGCATGTATTTAGACAAGAACGATACGACAAATTGTTCCCATTTCTTCCCACCGCCTGTACCTGAGCCGTACGTCCAGTTGAGCTGGCCACCCGACCAGATGAACTATATGGTCACATAGGGCATATAGCATACAAGCTAGGTCTGCAGTTCTGCTACTACTGCAAATTGCCCATTGAGTAAGGAAATTCGGTAAGAAGGCAATGTTTTTATATTCGCAGTTGTCTCTGTTTTTTTCCCGCTTTTATAAATGACTTGCTTGCTTTATAAAAGCCCAGGAACTCTATTGACAATGAGGTTTGTTTTTATGGAGCTGCTTGCAGTTGGCCGGTCTGCTTTCGCTAAGTAGTTACCGGGCGCCTTGATAGTCTGGAACCTGGTCATAGAAAGACTTTTTTTCTTTTTTTATTTGCGAACATTATTTGATATTGACTCCAGCTCCAGTGAAAGTCTAACGCGAGTCAATGGCCGCATTTTTGAAACAGCTGTCATTTATAGCAACGTTTCCTGATTGGTGCTTGATCATCCGCCACTCCTCATAGCGGCCGACATTAAACTAGGCGATCGCTGTGCCGGCAGGGCTCTTGGGGTACGTAATAAAGAAAAAAGAAGTACTTCGAATACAAGTTGAAGATTAGTGCGACATAGATCAAGCGCATAGCACAGCCTCGGGCCCTGATTGCTGAGTTTGCTGAAGAGGTGGGACCAAGCTTGTGCTCGACGTACGTGTGTTATGTCAATGCATTGCTGCGTTATATTTTTCTTATGCGATAACAGAAGGGTGCAAATAGGGAGCACCAGTACCTTTATCGAAATCTTACGACAGCTCCAAAAAGTGCACTGGTAGTTCGTGGCAAAATAATGCACCCAGCTGCTTTTTTTTTTTGCGAGGGGTTTGCATAGTATAAATAAACCGCCCCGCCGTATTCTACAATAAACAGCAGAGCAAAAATACTACATAGGCAACATGTAGAATGACAAGAGGTAAAAGAAAACAAAAATGAAATATCAAAATTTTATCGGACTATAAATCAGCGATTATTTTTATGTTTTTAACCAATATATGTAAACAGTCATATCACTGTGGTGTGTGCTGGCGTACGCAGGGAACCATTCTCCTCTCAGTACTGTAGACAAGACGACCGTCGATGCAACGCCTACTAGTGGTGTCGCGAATCTTCGCTGTCAATCTTAGCCTTGATGGAGAGAAAATAGAGAGGCCCCAGATAATACGGCACACGCTCGCCCAACAATACCCGTGCGTGGTAGTCAGCTGATTGCTTCGGCCTTTCTGCATCGCCGCTGCAACGCCTTTCTATGCCAGGCTGCTAGCAGCATCTCCTAGTGGAGAGTGATGGCTCCCTACACGGTCAGACAGCACCCCACCCATATACGATAAAGCATGGAGACTCCTCCCTACACAGCATTCCTTGTCGCTCAGATCAGATTATGAGTGCGAAACTTGAAGCCCCCGAGCGTCGTCAGCTGGCTGCGAAGAGTTCAGTGCCGCCCGCGACCGCCCGGCTTCCTCCCAGACCTGATTAGGTGCGCAGCGGCGGGCACCTCCAAACACGTGTTGCGGCGAAATCACCGCTGTTTCTGTATTTGTCTTTCTTTTGTGTATCCCTGCAGGGACGACGACTGCAGGCGGTTGTTGTGAGCGTAGGCTGGAGTTCAATACCCTCGGAAGTGTTCATTTATTTCGACGCCTAAGAGCAACGGGCCGTCATGAAGCTAACTCAAGTCATCGCCCTGACAGCAGCCGTCTTCTTGAGAGCTCCAGCGTCTTCGGCGTCTTCCAAAGGACAAACGAATCAAAAGTGCGGATATGAGGTGAGAACATGCAATTCACTGTGCATCTAGTGTATATGGCCTAGCCAACACCTTGTGCGGTCCTGGACTGAGCTGACCTTCAGAGTACGAAGAAAGAAAGGCAAATATAATGAAGAAAGAGAGAAACAACACTGTCTTAATTGCTAGTGGGGGAGTAACGTTTAATACAGTGTTTCGGCACGTTTGTCACTTTAAGCGTGTTCTAGGGTCTCAGCATCTGTGAGAAACGTGTCTCGTATTGAAGGCCTATGAGAGAGCATGAAAGGTCCCCGATGAGATATAGCACCTGCAAACTACTGGAAAAATTTTTTTTCGTGCATGAAATCTATACGCTTGCCTCGGCTAATGTACTTTGAATGTACTGTAGTGCCTTAGGCATGGCATTATCAACGTTTTTAAGGTATATGCTCATTGTCATTAGCCGATGTAACGAAATAGCTTGAACAAAAAAAATGTTCTGTGGACACTGTATTTGTATACCATTTCTCAACTCTGCACAGCTCCATGTCGTTTTCATGCTGTATATTTTAACATGAACGTGCTTTATGCCGGGGTTCACCACGGCTCCGCTGACGTATCTCCGTCGCGGATATCACGTTGTAGAGACGAAGTTCACTTCGCTCGGTGCCGTGGCCGCCTTTACGAAAGGAGTGTGCTGCTGGCACATGACGATGGAAGACTTGTGACAGTTGTTCACGCTTGTCCTGTGCATACTTGTGAGCTCGTTTCAGGTGCCTGTCTTTGTGTTTGAACAGCGCCTTTTAAGTGTCGAGCTGTGACAGTTGCTAGTCCGCACTCGTCCTTTGTATGTTAACATATCGCGGCGTGCTTTTTGCTTGAGGTGTGCGCTGCAAGTTTTCGAGCTGATTGCCGTTCTGAACTTGACTTTTCATTTTGTTGCTGTTGCTGAATGAGTGCATAATAAATGCTCAACTACCTCGGGGAAGACATGTTTTACTTACGTGTTACACCGATGCCTGTATAAGGGTATCAGCCACGTTTTTTTTTTTTTGTAGCACAAGGCTCTGAGGAGGTGTATCCATCGGATAGACTAGTTTATACCCAAACGGAAATGATGCTTTAGAGGCGCGTAACTATAGTATCAGTGATGCCAGGGCTGATACAGTGCGCCTACAAGGGTGCATAGAGGAGGGAAATCCAGGCGAAAGAAATAAAAAAAAACATCGAACCAGGCGTGTTAGAGATTATGCGACGTGTTGCCAGCTCTTGAAACTTTGTTTATGATGCCAGCAATCTGATAACGCGTGCTTTCTGGCCGCCAGGGGTGAAAGCGAGCCTTGGCGTATGCGATAGGCTCCCGCCGGAACTTACTCTGCACGTGCTGATTAGTAAACTCCAAGAAGCACGCCGGGCTCGGGTCCATTATCTGCACGCGCTGTATGTTCAGTGACGCAGTTTTTGCTCATTCGTTGCAAGTCCTGCTTGTTTTCATACGTTTTTTTGTCTTTGAGTTGGGTTCTGTTAGATGATGTTTCTGTCTTACTAAAGCCAACTTAATCTTCAATGATATGCGCCAATACTTTGATACTTCTTGATGAAACCAGTAACACAAAGACACAAGTGAAGAGTTCCTCTCCAGGAACAACGGCCATACATGTAGACTAAGCTCTGTGGCGTAAGAGAGCATTTCTTCTCTACACGCTAATGTTTTATCGTGCCCCTCTTAAGATGTGGCTGCGGTCGGCACTTTAGGGTGGGCACGGGTCCACTCTTGAGTCATAATTTCCACTTAAGCAGCTCTATTGAGTTTCTTTGATCTGTGCCTACCTAAAAGGTTTCTTTTTGCGTCTTCCTTTTTTTCGTTTGTAGAGCTGTCCGGCGACCAGACCGGGCATGTTAAACGTCCACGTGCTGGCCCACAACACATGGATCTTGGATGGCTGAAGACAGTCGACCAGTACTTCTATGGAAGTGAGTGAGGCTGTTCCTATTCTTGGGGCACTAATACCATTATCTAAGATGGTTGAGTCTCGTTTTGTCGTCGTGGACGCGTCCTTCTACCAACGTTACTGTTGACTGGTTTCTGTTCTTACGTACGCATTCAACGTGAGGACTTCTGCGCAACTGAAGTCCTCCTTTATTTCCCGGGCAAAGCACGCACTTTATCGACTTTTCAACCAGTGAAGAGCACCACTCAAAGTGCGCCTGAAGCTTAGCTTCCACGGCTACTGCGTTAACGAATGTTTTTTTTAAAAACGATAGTCTTTATTGAGGACCTTTGACGCAAAAATTTTGGTCTGTTTGTCCGCCCTTAACGGTACCCTAAATAGAACCAAAGTGGCCAAATGATACTCTTAACGGCTGAGCCCATCCGCAGCGCCCACCAATATTGCTCAAGATTCACCTTTCATACTTGTGCGATTGTCAATTAAAAGCAATTATTGCGCATATCTGAGGGACCCTAACAACACGCCAATATTCTGTATGTGTGTGTCTTACTAGAAAAGGCATACATAAGTAATTATAAGGACCGTAGCGTTTATCACGTTGCGCTGACTAGGGAACACTTCCACGAAAAGGCAAGTGTTTTTAACCGCTTTGCAAGACGACACGGTGGTGGCACCTGCCCGACGCCTTGCGTTCTACACCTTATCACCCCCGAGACGGGCGCGCAGGGTGCACTTGCTTCGTTTTCCCAGATAACTGCCAGATAGCGCTGATGTTTCACGTGTCACGTGACTTGATGCGCTCGTTCGCCTCCGCTGAACGCTCGAGGCACTCTAACGCAGCGCCTCCAGTATACAAATAACCAATTTTCATGCACAGAACATCCAATAAATGTTCAGTTCCCTCTCTCCAGACGCAAGACTATCGTCTTTTGACGACATTTACAGTGTAACATGCAGATACGGGACCAATTTTTTTATTTAAATAAATGTGGTTTAGGAGAGGTTGGTGATCACGCGTGAGTTCGGCTACTCCTTGCTCTACAATGCTCTTTGCAGAAGCAAAAACCAACTGAACGCGATGTCGTGCACAACAGCCGTGACTAGCCTGTGCCGAGCACACCCGCAAATGGAAAACTCTACCATGTGCCAGCCCAGTGGGCTCACTGAAAAGTCTTGAAAAAGAGTATTTTACGATTTTATATGAATGATGTATGAATAATACCTGTGATATGAATACGCGGTAAAATGAGTCGAAAGGAAACGCCACTGATGGGAGCCCAACCCGCAACTTTTGCAGGTCGTGTGCGGTGCTCTACGAGCTATTACACAGCAGCGCCGCTGATGCCGCTTAATTCCCCAATCGGCCTTTCGCTAAGCATTTCTTAGCGAACCTCGGCGACTTTGAGCGTATCTATCTATCTATCTATCTAGCCACTTACGTTTGGGTGCTCTAGTGGTACCCCCTTAACTTGGCATGAGCCAAAACTATCATGCGAGGGGGCATGACATATGGTTAGACGAATATCACGCGCTGGTCAATACTAATGAATAATGTCGTATACCGTCGCGCACGTCGTCAAACACTTCCCGCCGGACAGTAGCACATATATGCGGGTATGTGTCATAGGTGACTGACACATAGTACCTACCCAAGGACGACGACCACACGCACGAGAAATTTCGACGCGTGAGCGTTAAGCAATACCCCATCGGTAGCGTCGACCCAACGAAGTTATAGAATAATGCCTGTGCTAAGAATAAAACTCACTTAGACAACGCTGACCCTCGACTAATGCATAATGAATTCAGGGCACCAGTAGGAATCGAACCCAAGCATTCTGCGTGGCAGTCAAGCATTCTACCACAGAGCTACGCCAGGTCTCGGAACTGCTTTTCAAATAGACGCTAATCTTTGTTAAATGTCAATAGTGGTTGCAGGTGCTGCTACTCAGTTTTTTTTAAAATTACGTATGTACTCCTTTGATACAGCGTCCGTCGGTGAACGCACTTGTGGTTTATTATGTAGCAGTGTGAAGGGGATTTTGCCAGCATCAGCGCTTCATATCAGCTTCTGGTTATGCCAATACGCATGTTGCAGTCGACATCGTTGCGCAAGTGCGAACAACTGGTTATATAAACATCTGCACTTCTTAACATATGTCTGTGTTTGCAACATTTGTACACATACTTAGCGTCATTTCATGACGTGTTGCTCAATAAAATAATTGCAACACGGTCACCTTTCCTCCGCATGCTTCGCATAACGTCGATTCCCAGGTACGTGGGATCTGCCAAAAAAAATTTAAAAGTGCCACATAGTGCGTGTAACTCTGGCAGTGGTAGCCAGCGCCTTACATGACGATGGTGGGGAATGTAAAACATTCTTAATATCATATCATGGGCTGACCAATTGGGCCCCACGTGCTATGGTCTAACATGCCGCAGATGCCAACAATAAAATCAACAAGAAGAATAGTAAAGTCAGCGACGTCTTTTTAATTTGCCACATCTATACGAATGCTAAAGAAAGAAGCAAGGAAAACATACGGAGCCTTACTCGTACTTTTTCTTTAAAAAACTGAACTGTAGTAATATTTACTACGCTTAACTTAAGTTCACATGTTCCGTCCTCGAAGATCTGGTTTTCACCAAGGTTATGTTTAACAAAGGCAAGTCATTTGATGATTCTCGTCCTTTTCGTACCTTTATTTGTTATTTATAATGGTTAAATGACCCCGGATGGCCTCTACTACGGCGTCTCTCATAATCATTTGGTGGTGTTGGGGCGTTAAACCCCACTTATCATAGTTGTTATATTGTCGAACACAACCGCGCCATGTACTGAATTTCACACCCGTGACGAAGTTTGCCTATAGAACTTTCTTTTTACGTAACCGATTATTGGAAAATAGTTTCCCATGGTGTAGTACAAGAAATAATTTGTTGTGTTTTTATTTATTGTAACGCTGAAATAGCCTCGAAAGAAACTCTTCAATGTGCAGTCTGTTACTATTTTATTTATTTATGTATTTTTATTGTGTGAGTGTGTAATAATAACTGTTGTGGTTGAACTTTCCAAAAACACCACTTGATGAGAGACGCCGTAGTGAAGGGCTCCAGAAATGTCGACCACCTCGGTTCTTGACGTGCACCTAAATGTAAGCACATGAGCCTCAAGCATTTTTGCCTTCATAGAGAATGCTGTCGCTATGGCTGGGATCGATCCATGACCTGCGTGTCAGTAGCCGAGTCTCACTAGACCATCATGCAAGTGCGCGTGCGCGTGTGTGTGTGTTCATTGTTACTTCTAATTGATGTCATTGGTGTCTGCGTATGCTCTCTCCCCTAAACTTGGAAGCACAGGGCATTTAGATCAAAATAAATCAATAAGTCATAATCACAATCAGCAGCTACCCTTCATCTAGGAATGTGTTATTTCAAAGAGAATAACATAACTGCTCGCTGTGCTCAACTCAGTATATATCTCCCTGCGAGGATGTTCCTGTTACAAGCTGCACTCTAGCGTCGCCAGCGCGAAGTCGGCGACGGGAATGACAGCAGGTCGGTTCGTTCCTACGCAAGCGAGACAGTGAAGAGATCAGAGATGTGAGAAACAAAACAACTTTACTCTAGTGATATTGCAGCACACGGATCTAATACAACACTTCAATACAACTAACAAAATACTTCGACACTTGATACAACTAAAGAAATATATAACAGAAACAATAAATCATCTTACGAGAGAGAACTATTACAAACTACACAAACTAACAAGAATGAACGACGGAGGAGAAAGTTCGAAGATATAACAGGTGAAGGCATACGTGGATGACCGGCAGCGTTGTGTCCCCAGATCGGATGCGAGAAGTCGAAGAGAGTTCTGGCACGACTGCGATGTCGGTGGTGTTGCAACGCTGTGGCTCCGGGAGGCTAGTGCTTGCAGGTGACCTCGAGCAGGCTGAGCTAACTCGAGGCGAAGTCCCGATGTCTACGTTGCAGATGTTAATATCGCGTCACAACTAGACGAACGGCTAAGTTTAGGTGGCCAGCCGGTACAGAGCCACACTAAAAACTTCTAGAAGAGATGCTTGTTGATCTGTTTCTACACCATCTTGGTCAGCGGCTAGTCTGCCTAGCACAGCAAAACCCTGCGCTTAAATCTCTCTCGTGTCTCCTCCCTCTCTTGGGACAAAAGACCTCTACCTGGGTCCAATAATGCGCGTTTAATTGATGGGAAACTCCGCCCCAAAAATTTTGACCCCACCCCTTTTTAATTGGGAAGGGCCCTCAACTAGCGAGAGTGACAACCTGTCGGGTTGTTGTCATACGGCTTGGCCACCAGAGCGTTTCCCACGCTTTTCCTCCGTGGGACGGTCAAACGTTTGGCTCTCAGCCGGTGCGTCTTGTAGTCTAATCCTTGTTCGGGGTATACCGCGGCCTTCTACGACCTTGCAGACGCCACCGCAGTTACAAAAAGGTCGACTGTCAGCGGCGACGTTCTAAGAAGAGGACCCCAATTTGCACTTCTCGGCTCCCTTTCATGCGCCGCCATTCTCACGGTCATCGGGGAGTACGGCGCCCGTAATTGCCGTGACGCGGTGTCGCCAAAAATGGCTGTCCGTGACAGTTCCCCCTATGATTTCGCCGCTTTTAGTCATCTAACCGATAAGTACACGTTGATTGCTGAGTGGTTTCTGAGGGCGCTGACAAACAGTGCACTTTACACATCCGTACAGAAATACACCAAAAGTTCATGCACCATAGGTTGAGAAGAACTGAAATTTAGCCATGAGTTGGCGATATCCTCGGTAGTACTGCACTTCCAGGAAAGGCAGCCCGTCATGCATATCGACTGGTGGATCGAATAGTGAAAAGTCTCAAAGGGTCGCTTACACATTCGCCTATATAAGAGGACTCTTTATTCTTTATTCAAGGTTACCCCGCATTGCCCAAAGGCGTTACAGCAGGGGGTTACAGAAACGACATAAACAACTCTTCATTCTTCAGCACACTTGCATG